TGTTCAAATAGTTGTACTCTTCAAATGTTAAAAGATGAAGCAACCAAAGTTAACGTCAGAGGTTATAAGGCCAAAGGCCAAATAAAAACTTTGATAAGAGAATACAATTGGATAAATGAGTTACAGTATTTCTGCAAAAAGAAAGAGAACGTATCAATTTTTCAGTCATTGCTAGTATATTTGTGTAGGATGAGTCTTAATCATATAGACATTTGCTAAAGCCCACATGCACAAACCTGAACATCTCAGGGCAGCAAATATGCATATGTCATGAGCTGGAAGATTAGGCAGAGATCCACTGGCCAAGGACTACGGTTGGATCTAAGTTGACTGTAAAGAGGCACTTTGAAAGAAAGGCAAATGGGAAGCTAGCAAAAGAGGAAATTAAAGTGTCAAGGCAAGGATCATACCCAGTTCAAAAAAATAGCATCAACCAGAGTTCCCAAGAGCCTCCTTTCTGAAGTTTATGGCTGCAGTATTAACATTTACCTTGATGTTTCGTTTAAAACCTCTTAGGATGCTTTTTAAGGGTAAAAACCATAAACAGAAAGCATTTAGGAAAACCAATAAAACACTGCTTAGGAGGTGATTTTAAAGGCAAACCTAAAATCATTCGTAAAGAAAAAACGAGTCATTTATTGAACAGAGAAAACGCATTTGGACATTATGGATTTTTGAAAGCTCTGCACTAAGGTGACACTTTCTCTAGCACAACCTACACAGAGTTAAAAAGCTGAGACTTTACTCTTCCCTGCGTTCCAAAACGTGAACTTGGCAAATCTCATCCTGTGGCTACTGGACTTCGAGGATCATGAATCTTAAAGGCTCCCCAGGCGCTCACGTGGTCCAACTCCCCTTCTCCCAGCCGGAGCATTATCATCAAGTTACCCAGGACGATTGAGGTGGCCCCTTCAAGGTCACACCATTCACGAGTGCGGGACGGGAGTCCACGGGCTACGATGCTCTGACCCTCATAATAACCCTCAGGAGTCCCCAGGATGGACCTAAGGAGCCGCGAAGCACGATGACAACCGAGGCTCCAGGATCGCAAGAAGCGGCGAACTTGCAAGGTTCTCTAGCGGGTCGGCCCGGGCTCATTCGACCCAATCTCCTCCGGTCCCAGCTCGGTCCGGGCACCTGCTCTTCCCACTTGGAACGTCAGTCCAGCCCCCGCCCCCAGGGCGCCTGGCAGGCGGGGGACCGGATCGTCCTCGTCCCCGGCTCTGCAGCCCCCGACGCCGCTCCCACGGCGGGAACGTCACTGCACCCACCTCCCACTCCTCGGGGTAGTCAGGTCCAGCTCCCCTCACCCTCCGGCTCCGTGGCCCTGTCACTCGCGCCCCCCACGCCGCTGGGCCCGGTGCACCCCGTTGCCCGGCCCCGCCGGTGGGTCGCCCCCGCCCGGCAACGTCCCGCGTCGCCTCCCCAGCCTCTCCCGACGGCTCGGACCGGCCGCCCGCTGCTCACCCGGCGAGGACGGCCCCGATGAGGTACAGCAGCAACAGGCAGAAGGTGCCCAGGTTCTGCGGGGCCATGGTTCCCGTACCGGTTCGGCGCCGGCCCCCGGCCCCAGCCCCCCTCGCTCGGCCTGCGTCCGCCGCCGCGTCGGCTGGCCCGCCCCCGAGAGGCCGCCTCACGCCGGGCTCGTCGCTCGCTCCCTCGCTCGCTCGGGCCGCGGCGACAGCTGGCTGGCGAGCCCCCCTCCGCGGCCCGTCCACTTCCCGGGAGTCCCGAGTCCCGGCCAGAGAAGCCCCCCGGGAGCCGGGAGCCAATCGCCGCTCGGGACCTCACGAGCGCCCGGCGCGGCGCAGCCAATCAGCGCAGTCCACTTCACCGTCGAGGCGGCGCGGGCGGCCAGTGAGGCGGCGGGACTGCGGCCGCAGCACGCGACCAATCCGGAGAGGACACGTCAGAGCATCGCGCCGCCGCAGGAACGCTCTCGGCCCCGGCGTCCGCGGGTCGGAGGAGATTACGTAAAAGGGAGCCGGGGAGAAGGAGTGCCCGGCCGAAGCACCCGAGAGTCGCAAAGTTTTCCCGGCCCGCCCCCTTGGACTCTTCACCAATCAGGTGGCTCTTCTTCCAAACTGTCCAATGACGGGGCAGAGACTTTATCCGGGCTACGAATCTCGGAATTTCATTCATTGAGAGCGGGATGCGGGAGACCGGGGCTTGAGTGACAGGGGCGGGGCCAGTTACTCCAAATTGCTGACAAGACTCCCGCATCACATACGAGATCTTATTGGGCCTTTCCTGATATGTCCAACAGGTTCTTAATCGGTCTTTCCGGACATGTCCAATAGAACATTTTTTTGTTTTCTGGAGACAGAGAGGTTGCAATTCAGATCGCAGCCCAGTCTCAGCCTAAGCTTTTAAACATTTTGTGGAAATGTGAAAAAAATCGGGGGTGGGGGGCTTTTTGGGTCACACCCAAAAAGCTATGCTCAGGGGTTACTCCTGGCTCTGCACTCAGGAATCACTCCTGGCGGTGCACAGGCGACCATATGGGATGCTGGCTATTGAACCTGGGTGGGCCGTGTGCAAGGCAAACGCCCTACCCACTGGACTATCGCTCCAGCCCAGTGTGAAATTTTAATGAGAGAAATATCTGCAAGTCGTTAGCAGAGTGTATGGATAACCTGACAAATGCATAGTAAACACGCTGTGAATAATTAAGGCAAGAGGATACTTCTGATCTCTCTGCTCAATCTGTTAAACTGCTACGCCTCCTCCCCCATGCCTCTACTTTCAACGTCTTAGTTCTGCCCACCTCCCATATAGAAGTCTACTCACGCTATTCCCTTAAAAGCCTGGAATGGGTTTTCCTGCACTTAGAATTAAAACACCAACTTTTTCTTCTTTGCTTTTTTGGATCACACCTGGCAGTGCTCGGGGATTACTCCTGGCTCTGCACTCAGGAATTACTTCAGGCAGTGCTTGGAGAACTATATGGGATGCCAGGGATGGAACCCAGGCTGGCCATGTGCAGGGCAAATGACCTACCTGCTGTACTATCTCTCCAGCCCCCCCAACTTTTTTTTGAGGGGGGGAGCACACTCTGAGGTGTTCAGGGATTACTCCTGGTTCTGCACTCAGGGATCACTTCTGGTGGGCTCAGAGGCCCATATGGGGTGCCTGTAACTGAACCCCATGTGGGCTGCATGCAAGGTAAATGCCCTGCCTACTATACTATGGCTCTGGCCCCAAACACTAACTATGCTAGCTTTTAAAACCTTATCTGTCGCAATGAAGTTAGATGTGTAATGCATACATTTATCTAGTGTACTCCTTACCATATTCCAGCAAAACTGGTTTCCTACCTCTTTTGGAATGCACCAAGCTCATTTCTGTACACAGCATTTATTCTATCTCTTCCCTTGTATTCTAACAACTTAAAAACTCCTTAAAAACTCAATTATCAAACTTAAGTACACCACTGCAGAGATCACTTCCATGACCAACTAATAACCCCCCCCCCCCTTATCGAGTCCTTTATCCTTACTGTACCTGACTAATTTCTACCTCATCCCCTACATTCGCACAGAATGCCAGTTTCCTGAGAGCCTGAATCTGGACTGTTCTGTTGAGTATTATAGACCAGCACCTTAGAACAAAGCCTGCCACAGAATAAAGTTGCTTTGACTGTGATCTTCCAATGCTGGCTTATTTTCAGGCCTCAGCTCAAATTCAGCACTGGGTATACCCCTCTCCCCCTCCCCCACCAGCATTTCTTACTACTAGAAAGTATCCTTTTTTATTTTCTCAATATACATTATCTATTCCCTCTATTGTATATACACACCAAGGAAGCAAGAATCTTGTTCCTGTCCCCACTGCCTACTACTCTGATCTTAAGTGTCTAGCTCTGTGCTAGACACAATAATTACTGTTGCAGAAAACAAAGGTACAGATGAGGACATCTGCTCATTGTCACGATCCACTTGGTGGTGCAACCTGATCTTCATCACCTGTTGGAATCCAAGTCCCCTGCTCTTTACCTCTTGACACTATGCAGAATGGTTACTGCTTCCAGGAAGACACTCAAGGTGAGAGGTCAATAAAAGAGAAACAAATTTCGTTATGTGGTCTTATTTACCTTTGCAGCTTCCACACCCAGAGAAGCCATAAATGGACTAAGGAAGTAGGAAATAATCCAACAAATCAGGAAGCAGAGGTTTGAAGGACACTGTGATTTTTCCCCCACTCCCAGAGGGATTTCATGAACGGGGTACCAAGGAGCGAAAGTTAACAGAACAGAGTGGGGGAGTTAATGACCCTGGATCCTGCTTCAGATGGTCTGAGCTTTTATTGATTCAGTCTGGGGCCACACCAGGAGGTGTTCAGGGCTTACTCCTGGCTCTGCATTCAGGGATCACTCCTGGTTCAGGGGGACTATATGGGATGCCCAGCAATCAAACCCGGGTCGCAGATGGGCTGAGTTTTTATCTTTGCCAGTCTTTTGCAGCGTGGTCTTGTTAAAACTCTGACTCTGTGGTAAAATTTTGGGCACCTGCCTAGCCAGCCTATAAACAGTCTTGGGGGTGGGGGTGGGGGAATAGGGGTACTGCCGCTTTGAATTCTCTATAGGCAAATTCCTCAACAGTGGTGATACTTTTAAAGGGCTTTTGGGAAGACGGCGAGAATGCATGCTAAAGATGAAGCATACTGTCATCCCACAGCAAGCATTTGATAAATGCCATCAACCCCTAATATTGCTGATCAAAGCGTGCTGACTTTCCAGTAGCTGTTGAGTAGCCACAGTGTTATGGAACAACAACCAAACTTCGTACCCTCACCGGGCCTCGCCTCGAGTTGTAAAACCAGACACTCTGGAAAGCGTCCGCTTGTCTTCTAGCACGCGGCACGCGGAGAAACCGAGGACACTCGGCCGCCCTGGCGGGTCCGTCTCGGTGCAGCCGAGTGGCCGCTGGCCGCTCTAGCCAGGCCGCCCGCGGGATCTCGATGGTGCGCGACGCGGCGCCTGCGCAGTGGGTGCGGAGGGTGCGGGCGGGCCCGGAGCGGGGCGCGGAGGCGCGCGGGCCCGTGCAGGTAACCGGGAGGCGGCTCGGGCTGGGTTGAGGAGGTCGCTGTGTCGCTCGCCGAGGCGCGGGGCGGAGTTCGGGGGGGTCCCTGAGGGGCACTTAGGAGCCCACTCGCCCGCGTTTGACTGCTTGTTGCGCACGGCCGGCCGGCCCACGCCGCGTTGTCGCCGGATGCGGGGCGACGTCGCTTCTCGGCCGGAGTCCCGGCTGCCCCCGCCTCCGACGAGTGTTTGAACGGGAAAGACCACCCTCGTTCCGACTCGAGCTGGCTCACGAGCCCCCGCGTCAGACTCGAGGCTTCGTTCGGACCGCGGGCTGTGGAGACCTCCTCACGTCAGGGGCCGGAGCGCGCTTCCCTCAGCTCACTGAGCGGCCGATTCCGAGCTCCCTCGCCCAAGTTTCCCTTCTTTGGTGGCTCAGAAGGCTCCCCCCGCGCCAGTTCCAGCCCCAAGACAAGGTCCTGTGCATCCCGGGTCCCCCGGAAGCCTTTGCGTTCATCCCTCCGCTTCCCGCATCTACTAAATCCTCTTCTGGGTCCATCCACTCACAATTTTTTTTTTCCCTCCTGAATTCTAAAACTCTGTTATTTTTTTTCCTTTCTCTTTTTTTTTTTTTGTTTCTTTTTGGGTCACACTCGACAATGCACAGGCATTACTCCTGATTCTGCACTCAAGAATTACTCCTGGTGGAGTAATGGGACACTGGGAACCGAACCCCGGTCGGCCACGTGCAAGGCAAACTCCCTACCTGCTGTGCTATCGGTCCAGCCCCTAAAACTGTGTTCTTTAGCAACTCAAGTCAGACAGACTTGCATTGCACTTCGTGCTGGGACCGCTTAAAGATGTAACTGGATTGTCACTGTCACTGCCCTCCCGTTGTTCATTGATTTGCTGGAGCTGGCCCAGTAACATTGTGAGACTTGTTACTGTGTTTGGCATATCGAGTACATCCTGTGTTTCTCCAGGTGTTTCTGAGGACAGAGGAGGTGAAGTATGCAAAACTGGTGCAGCAGCCCTGAATTGTTGTCAGTTCTTGTGAACCGATAATTAACCCCAACGAAGTACAGTTTGCTTAGAATCAGATACAAAGTGCAATAGTATAATAACCAAGAAACATTTTCCTGTACAAAAGGACTTCTGGGTGGAGGTGGGAGTGGGGGTGGGGGTGGGGAGTTGAGTGAGTTAGGCGGCACCCAGGGGTGCTCAGGGCTGATTCTTGGCTTTGTGCTTCAGGGATAACTACTGGGATTGTTTTTGGGATCTCAGTGATCCGAATGGTTGCAAGACAACTGCCTTAACACCTGGACTGTCACCTCTCCCCCCCCCCCCCAAGGCAATCACATTTTTAAGCTTTGTTATTTAATGTTGAAGAATTCTTCCTGAAGAAGGTACTTTGGCCACATACAATTTGATGCATTCATTTTGGAAAACATTTTAGATATGTCAGAAGCTTCAGAAATATCAGTTACTTCACAATGCATATCTGAATTTTTGCTGCAAAGAATCAGTATAGAAGACATACAGAAAGGGTAACTATAGCGTGTGTAACAGTGAAAATCTGAAAACTTTTTTATAATAGAAAATTTTAACACACAAAAGTGGAATAGGGAAGTGAACCCATGTGCTTATCACCCAGCTTAGTGGTTGCCATTCCTGTAAGTTTAAAAAGAGAATAACTGGAATAAGGTTTTATATATATATATATATATATACACATACATACATACATACAGAACCTGGCAGGCTACCAAAAGTATCCTGCCCGCTCGGCAAACTTCCTGTGTCGTACTCAATATGCCAAATACCAGTAACGATGATGGGTCTCATTTTACTAATCCTGAAAGAGCATTGAAATGGCTCTTTTAAAATCTCAGGGCTAGGAGGAAGATGTTATTGGTGCCTGCTCGAGGAAATCAACGAACAATAGGATGATCCTGTTACATATATATTAATGGGGGCACTTTCCGATAGAAACTGGAAAACCTGCAAGACAAGTTCTCAAAGAGCTTTAACGCTAAGATATTTAGGGTTTATGTACCTTTCAAAGTAAAGTAAAGGCCCTCCCGTTGATTATCGATTTGCTCGAGCGGGCTCAGTAACGTCTCCATTGGAGACTTTGTTGTTACTGTGTCTGGCATATCAAATACATCACGGGGAGCTTGCCAGGCTCTGCCGTGCGGGCGAGATACTCTCGGTAGTTTGCCGGGCTCTCAGAGAGGGGCGGAGGAATCGAACTCGGGTCGGCCATGTTGGATGCGTGCAAGGCAAACGCCCTATCGCTGTGCTATCGCTCCTTTCAAAATAGTACAGAATTAGTCATATGGTATTACAAAACTATAAAGATTTGAAAATATTTAGTTCCTGTATAGATAAAAGGTAGGATGTACCATAAAGTTACTAACTGGTTTCCCATTGATGTTAGGTCTGAAGATAATTTCTTTCCCTTCAAGTTTTAGATATTTTATAAGTATCATATAACAATAAAACAAGGAAAAGTACTGACCTGAGCCAAGCATAATAGAAGTTGATGTAGCAACTTCACTGTAGCAGAGTAAAGATGCTTTAATTTCTCTTGATTTCTTTTTGCAGTTTATGTAAGTGTTCATGTCTCCTGGCTTTATTGCTTCATACTGAACTTCCGTGGCCAGCGAAGACCCCCAAATCTTAAACCAGTCAAACTCTTATGTGTAAGTGATTTGACTATAAAATTTCATTGTGCTTATTTTAACCAGCATCCATCTTCAAGGAATAACAAGATTTCCCATGTAAGATGACTTTTTTTTTTTGAACCTTTTATCCTGTGCAGGGTTGTAACTCATATCTCATGCATTCACACACTCTGCTTCATCATCCACTTTGAACAATTAAAATAATTTCGTTTCTTCACAATAAATCATCTTGCTCAGGAGCCAGATACAGGGACTAAGGCACTTTCCTTCCAGGCAACCAACCCAGTTCAGCAGTTCAGTCTCCATCACAGCATGGATCCTGAACATTGTGGGGGGCATTGTCAGGTGCACCTCCCCCCATCTTCCTGAGCCCTGCTTGGGAGTTTCCCTTACCCCCTGTTTTCTTACTCAAAATAGATCATATAAGATCTGACCCAAAAACTTGATTCTGGTTTTAGTTGATGAACTAGATTAAGCTTTTAAAAAGTCATCTGTGCAATGCAAGACCTGCACTTTACTACTGTGCATAATCCCCAGCTGCCCCCCCCCCCATCCCCCAAATGACTTTTAGAAAGATACAGCACATTTAAAAACAGAGGCTCATCATAAGGGAGAATACATAAAAGACCTTTGTTGCTGCACCATTTGTGAAGAAACTTTGTTTCCTAGGTATGCAAAGAAACCTTTTTACACAGATGTCCTTAAAGATATTATGGATCAATGCAGAGGAGTTCTCCTTTGGGTGAAAGCAGAACCCTTTATTGTGGGCGCCTTGCAGGTGCCCCCTCCATCCAAGTTCAGTCTTCACTATCTCAGGAAGATAGCTACTTATGTGCGAGCCCGAGCCTCCGAGGGTGCATACCCACGCCTGTACTGGTCTACATGGAGGCACATTGCGTGTGGGAAGCTGCAGTTGGCTAAGGATCTGGCATGGCTTTACTTTGAAGTATTTGATAGTCTGGCCGTGAAGACACCACAGGAGCGCCTGGAATGGTCCGAGATTGTGTCCAACTGCTTGTCTGAGGAGGAAGTTGAACAGAGGAGAAATCAGGTATGGGTTTAGATGTATGTGCGTATATATAATTATTGTGGGGAATGAACTGTTTATTTTGGTATTAGCTGTACAGTGTTTCAGGTTAGTGACTGTTGTGACTCCAGAGTACTATTTGAGCTTTAGCAGTTTCCAGTTACAGTGCTTAATGACTTAGTCCATACTTAGCAATCCTTATTCACCTACTCCCAAGACAGTAATACTACAAAAATTCGTTAATTGAAAGAGAGAAATGTTTTCATTGACTTGAAAAATATTTTGAGTTGAGGGTCTGTGAACCAACCATTGATAATACTTTACTATCAGAACTCCGGACCATTTCATTTTTTGTTGAGGGGGCACACCAAGGTTACAATGCTCAGGGGTTACTCCTGGCATTGCTGGGGGCCCCATCTGGGATGCTGGGATCAAACCTGGGTTGGTCGGGTGTAAGGCAAACCCCTACCTGCTCCACTATCATTTTTAAATGTCTTTACCATGTGCTAGGGTTTAGAAATGAGTACATCGGCATCTGTGTCCCCATGAAACTCATAGACTGTAAGGAAAGCTGGTGTGCAAAAATAAATAAATAAAAGTGCTGTTTAGGGTCCAGGAGACAGCACAGAGGACTAGAACACATGCTTTGCATATGGGAGGCCAGGTGTGATCGCTGACAGCACTTGTCCCCAGGCACTACTGGGTAAGACCTAAAAAGAGCCAATAAAGTGCTATTACTAGTGTAATATATACAATAATAACAAAACAAAAACAAACACTGTCTTCCCGTTGGTTGTTCATCCATTTGCTCGAGCAGGCCAGGAGCATCTCCATTTTGAGACTTGTTACTGTTTTTGGTATATTGAATATACATCACAGGTAGCTTGCCAGGCTTTGCCGTGTGGGCGAGATACTCTCGGTAGCTTGCCGGGCTCTCCGAGAAGGCCGGAGGAATCGAACCCGGTTCGGCTGGGCTGGGTGCGCACAAGGCAAACGCCCTACTGCTATGCTATCTCTCCAGCCCATATAATAATAAAACTACATGAAATAAGATACATTAAAAAAAATAATAATCCCGTCAGGAAATTTTGATGATCAGAAAAGATTTTTCAGAGAAAGTATATTAATCAGATTAGGCTCATCACATTAACAAGCAATCCCAGCATTTCATTGACTTAGCACAATAACTTTCTCATTTGTGCTGTATGGAAATGGGTTTATGAGCATGAGCACAGTCTTCAAACAAGAGGTTAAACCATATACTTCAAAAAAAAGAAATGACTTATAAATACTTATCAGACCAGTAGTTTTTTTCTTTATTAAATTAAACACTTCTTTAAAAATTTGATGAGAACTTAAAGTTCTCCTGAAAATGCTTGAATACTAGAAATTTGCATGTAATTTCAGACAATGCACTAATATCTGAAACTTCCTTGATACATCTCTAAATCTTCAGTTTAATTAATCCTCTTTATCCTAACTAAAATTTTCTTATTCCATTCCTTCATTTATTTTTCAAATTACTGAAGGTTTTGTTTTTGTTTTTGGTGATACCCAATGTGCTCTGGGGGTCATAGACCACACAGTGCCAAGGATCAAACCCTGGGCTCCCACATGGAAAGAAGGTGCTCCAACCCACTTAACTATCCCTGACCCCGAAAGGTTTTTTGTTTATTTGAACAGTTTTAAATTTCTGAAATAATGTACTTTTAATGTCTGGATTTTTTTTTAAATCCATTTTCTAGAGAAAAGACTTGGTATTAGAAGGACAAAGGTAGCCTGTGGAGGAGGTAAATGATTATAAGTCAGTTCCAGAAGCTCCTACATTGGAATATCAGAGACATCAAGTGCTGACAACGTTTTTACAGTTGTTTTAAGATTAGTAATCTGTTGTAACTTTATTTTACTGTATCTACTTGGTGTTGGTTGACTAATGATTGATGCAGTCATCATATACTTTGTTTTTTACAGCTTTCAGTGGACACCCTGCAGTTTCTGCTTTTCTTATATATACAGCAATTAAACAAGGTCTCTCTGAGGACCTCTTTGATCGGAGAAGAGTGGCCTAGTCCTCGAAACAGATCTCAGTCTCCTGACCTCACTGAAAAGTCCAGTTGTCCTAAGGTATAGTTACATTTTCAGCTCATCATATAAAAGGGATAATTTATAAGCAAGCTGGGGCTTGTTGGAATTGCTTACATAAGCCAGTGATTTGCTTGCTTTTATTTGCTTTTTACTTTTCTGCATGAAATTACAAAACAAAATCCTCCCTTGTTCATCAATTTGTTTGAACGGGCCCAGTAACGTCTCCATCATGAGACTTGTTATTACAGTGTTTGGCATATTGAATACGTCACAGGTAGCTTGCCAGGCTTTGCCATGCAGGTGAGATACTCTCGGTAGCTTGCTGGGCTCTCCAAGAGGGGTGGAGGAATTGAACCTGGGTCACCCGGGTCAGTCGTGTGCAAGGCAAACGCCCTACCCGCTGTACTATTGCTCCATAATCTTAATCAAAATAGAGACGTTATTTTTGTTCCCTCACTGACACAGAAATCCCATACACAATTTTGGGAAATCATTTCCATACTTTTTTTGCATTCCATTTTTTTTGTACATTGATGAACTTAAATCTGCTTCTTTGATGAAGTGTACATGAGAAGACATAGTATTTACAAATGTTGAATTTGTTGAATTTTCTGGCACATTTTAGAAAAATACTCTCCTATGCATAAGTAATTTGCCCAAACATATTTAAACTCAGCATGCTTGAATAATTATAAATGATGTGATAACCTAGATGTTAAATTTAACTCCCTTACATTGTGAGTTTTAGAAAATGTTCTCTCTCTTTTTTTTTGCCCCTTGTAATATAAAGGACATCAAACCTACTTTGGGAAAAGTATTTTCTGGTTTTTTGTTTGGGTTTTTTTTTTGGGGCGGGTAGGGTGGGGAGTGGCACACCCAGCAATGCTCAGGGGCTCTGTACTCAGGAATTACTCCTCTTGGTGCTCAGGAGACCAGATGAAGTGCCAGGGATTGAATCCGGGTTGGCCACATGTGAGGTGAGCACCCTACCCACTGTACCATCACCCAAATTTTCTTTTTTGGGGCCACATCTGGCAATGCTCAGGGGTAACTCCTGGCTCTGGATTAGGAATTATTCTTAGTGGTGCTCGGGGAACCATAGGTGAAGCCTGGAATTGAACTTTTTGTGGGCAGCATGCAAGGCAAGGGCCTTACCTACTGTACTATCACTCCAGCCAAATGAATCATTTGTTTTTAATTTGTTTTCTGTATTTTTTTTTTATTCTTTGGGCCATACCCTGCCATGCTCAGGGCTTACTCCTAGCTCTGCACTGAGGAATTAGTACTAGCATTGCTCTGGAGAACATATGTGATGCCGGGGATTGATTCCACTTCGACTGTGTGCAAAGCAAACACCTTATCTGCTGTACTATCAGCCCAGAGTTTGGGAAAAGTATTTTGAAAAAACTAATTAAAATTTGGAGTTCAGTTTTATTGCCATGTATAGGCTCTTTAAACATGTTTTAGGCCTTAATTTTTTTTATATTTGGTTCTTTCATAATCTTTTTAAGTTCTGTCTTATTTCATGACACTGTTCTCCAGTTCTGCTTTGAATTTTTCTCACTCTTCTTAAATCCCTGACAATTACTTGTTACTTCTCCTTCAGGATTCTGCCTCTTGCAAATTTCTCTCCTTTATGTGGCATCGTAGTTTCTCTTCTCACACTTCATATTTCTCAGTGACTCCTGAGTTTATGTCCAGTCTTATATTTTCCCCTTCACATAGATGTCCATCTTTACCTCAAATTCAGAATATTCAAATTCAGCATTAGAGATCTCAAATTCAGTATTAGAGGTGCAATTCATTGCCTACTCATTCCACATGTTGTTCCTGCTAGATTGTCACCATAAGAGCTAGAACTATTGTAGCCTATATTCAGATCTTGTTCTGCCTCTAATTTTCACACAACTTGAGTTATCAGTTAACTTCTCCAGTCCTCTGCTTTCCTCTTTAGAGGAGAAGGATAATAGTGATAAAATTTCAGTAAAATATTAGTATAATACTTCTTTGCATTCCTATATTAAAATCTCCCTTTCTTTAAACTATATTGCCTTTATAGATCAAAGTGGACCACCAGCCACTGAGACTTTTCTTTTAATCTATCTAGTATCTAGTTTTTATATCTCACAATTCTACTTCTGAAATAACTCTTTAAAAACCTGTTCTTTCTCTCCTTCCCCTCCTCCTCCCTCTTCTCTGATATAGGTACTAATGACTTTTGATGGGCGTTGTGAGAGGAGGGATTGATCTCTGTAATTAGATCCTAGCTGGTCCCCAGTCTGCAATCTTCAAACTGTTCTATACTTTTTAAATTGCATCTCCTATCTAAACTCCATCTCTGGATTCTAGTTGTCATAGTTATTTTCCCAGTGTTCTTCAAGTAGTCATCCTAGGGCCTTCTGTGGTTGGGACAAGGAAAGGGGGCATGTGTAACAAGAACAGGGGAGGATGTGAACAGCTCTGCTTTGGTAGGTTTTTTGGCCTCTGAATGGGAGTTTATTAATAACATAAAGTACAGCTATTTAGAAACTAGTTTGAAAGACCCTGGCATGCAAAATAAAGTTCTGCTATTTTAGTATTTCACACAAGGCATAATGTGTTTGGTCCCAGCTTACACAGCCCCTTCCTATTTTTTTTTTTTCATTTCATCATCCTGTTATTCGTCGATTGCCTCGAGCAGGCCCCAGTAACGTCTCTTTCATCCAAGCCCTGAGATTATATTCAAGGCTATTTAGGAGAATGAGACCCATCATTGTTACTGGTATTTGGCATATTTGGTACGCCACGGGGAGTTTGCCAGACTCTGTCCTGTGGGCAGGCTACATTCGATAGCCTGCAAGTTTGTCCAAAGTAGGAATAAGACAATAAGATGTCATAAAAAAGTTTTGTTAAGATGTCGCGCGGCCGCGACACATACCTTCATGTGTGCGGAGAGTGGTCTCAGCATGGTGGTGGCTGGTCCTGGAGGTCTTCGGCTGCCGTAGCCCTGGTCGGGGCGGGGAGGAAAGCTCAACCCGCTCCCCTCCAAGGGACTCCGGGAAGGAACACCCAGGCGCGGGGGCAGAGACTGCACTGTTCTCGTCCGGGATCTGGATTTTATAGTCTCTGAGTCTTGGCCGCTGATGGGATTACACGGCGCCAGGGGGCCAGGTGGTGGGTGTGACCCCCGCCTACTGGAATTTGGAGGATCTGGGTGGAAGATGCTCGACTCCAATTCGAGTAGGCTTGGAGGTCTCGGCCCCGGAACCCGCGTGGCTTTGTCCCTCTGCCAGTACCTTCATGTGTGCAGAGAGTGGTCTCAGCATGGTGGTGGCTGGTCCTGGAGGTCAATTAAGAATCTATTCAAACAGGACTCCACTGTGGGTTTTTTTTTCTCCAAGTGCAGTTCATTATTTTTCTCATGCTCATAAAATTTCTTTATGACTCTTTGCTATATGATTAGTTGTTTTTGTTTTATTGTTTTTTTTTAAAGTACATTATATAAACTTGAGTTCCTGGAGGTCAGAACTATTTAATTTTCATAATTCATCACTTGATATGGCTCATAACATGAAAGAGGAATTCAAAAAAATATGTCGAGTGAGCCAAATCTGGGAACATCTGCCAACAACAGGAAGTTTATTCCCAAAGTTGTCCTTTTCTCTTAAACTTAGTCACTGTAAGACCAGTTTCTTTGTTTCATCCAGTAGAATTTGAAATCTGTTGATTTGAGAAGATCAATAAACCCTCTGCTTCATGAAATAAATGAGATGGTTATTTGAATTCTCTTTTTAAACTTTAAGGAGTATTCACTAGGCATGCGACTTTGAGCAAGTTCTTTACCTTTTCGTATGTGTATTTCCTCAATGATATAATGAGTGTGGTAATGGCATTTATCTTAAGATTGTAGTTAGCTTAAAACATTAAATTTATAATATTGTGTTTTGGCACACGGAATTGTTAGTATTGCTTTTGAATTTTCTGAGTTGGAAAGAGAATGTTTATACCTACCATATGCACAAAAATTTCATAAGGTTTATATTCCCACCTTCAATACTTCTTTGGGAATGAGGCAAAGTCAAACACAAAATAATGAAAATATTATGTTTCAGGTCTTAGAGAACCTGTTTTGTTAAGCATGCTTTCTTTTGATATTTTTTAGAACTGGAATGATTACAGTCATCAAGCTTTTGTCTCTGATCATCTGTCAGATCTTCTTGAGCTGCTTTTAGATCCAGAACAACTCACTGCATCATTTCATTCAACCCATAGTAGTCTAGTCTCTCGAGAGGCTGTTACGGCACTTAGCTTTCTTATCGAAGGTACAGTAAAGAAAGGCAGGAAGATATATCCACTTCATGAAATTGCGCTATGGCAACCACTGCATGCGGAAACTGGTTTCTCAAAGTTCTCTAAGACCTTTTCTTACTACAAGCTGGAAGCCTGGTTGAGAGCCTCTTTGACTGGTAATCCCTTTGGTACATCTGCTTGCCTCAAGTCTGGAAAGAAATTGGCTTGGGCTCACCAAGGTACTTTCAAAATGTTTTCAATGATATTCAACTGAATGACAAGTTAGGAACCTAGTGTTTTCTGATGTATTAATACATCTTCTGTAGGAGACCTAAAATAATTGCTACTGTAAAAGAACAGAGCACCATCTCTCTTTTGTATGTGACTTTCCTCTCAAGGCAGCAACAGCTCTGGAGTTGATTTATTATCCCAGGTTACTTTGGTTGTAGTTAACAGAAATTCTGGCTTTAGTGTGCCTTCTCTTTCCACTGCTTTTCTCATTTCTGACTTTGGCAGGGTGGGGTAGGCCTGGCACATCCAGTGCTACTGTGGGAACCATAGAGTGCTGAGGTGCCACCTGAAACTCCCATAAAGCAAGTACTTCAGCCCTTTGAGCCATCTCCTTGGCCCCAATTTTCTACCTTTGTCTCTCTCTCTCTCTCTCTCTCTCTCTCTCTCTCTCTCTCTCTCTCTCTTTCATATGCTTATTGACTTGAGGTTATTTTCCACACAGCATAGCAGAATTTGGTCATTCCACAGTTACAACCTTAGAGACTTGATTAGAGATGCGTTCCCTTTTTAGCTACACAGATACAAGTAGATGAGAGGTTTCTAAATTGGAATTTAAATTTAGAGAGAATCTGACCTTGGTTCTATCTGTATCTATTTCTGAAGCTCAGTAACGGCTAAAGGGGTATGATGTTATAATCTAAGTGTATATTGGAAAAAAAAGGGACTGGGCACACATTTCAACACTAAGGCAAATGCCAGGCAAATTAATGGGAAGAAAAGAAACCCAAAACACTAGAATATATTGACACAACCTTTCAATTTCAAACATAAAGAAATCTCTGCTCTAAGTAAACATTTAGAAGAAAATATGAGTTCTGTACTTGTATAAAAAAATCCATTTTGTATCAGATTTTTATAATACAAAAAATAAAATGTATTGAGCAGTTATCTTTAACAGAATCTTGAAGCAAAGAGTCTGTGATCCTGCAATTTCATTTCCTACCAACGTATTACTCTAGTATGAGGTCAGAAAGTCTTATATTTGTAAGGCTCCCATAGTATGGAAAAGCTGTGACATAATTCTTATTATTCAGGTCAGGTAAAGTTTGAAACATTGTTAGGTTAGGCACTTCTAGGATAAAGGAGGTGTAGATAACATTTTAGGATTATACTGAAATGTTACTGCTGGAAAATAGTAGGGTTACAAATAATTTTGTTTGGTTGTGAGTCATGTCCAGCTGTCCTCAGGGCTAATTCCTGGCTCTGTGCTCAGGGATCACTTCTGGAGAACTTGCAGGACCATATGGGGTGCCAGGGATCGAACCTGGGTCAGCTGTGTGCAAGCCAAGCACCTTACCTGCTGTCTATTTCTCTAGGCCCCAAGATTTCAAATAGTTCATCTTTTACTACTGTATTTAAATTTTTCTACAATAAATATATTTTTAATGAAGAACTGATAGAAATTATTGCATAATCTTTAAATTACTTATGAAGTAAAATTAGCGTATAAGAATGCAAATGTTTACAGGTTTTATGTTCCTGTTACCCTACCACACCCACCACCTGAGGCCAGTAACCCACTACCATAGTCCATAGACCCTTCTTTCCAATCCCCACTTCTGCAGACTCTTTTGTGAAAGTCTGTGATTTTTTTCTCATTCGATTTGTTTATTCCCTTGCTTTATTTCTTTAATATATTGTCTGTAAGTGGGGTCACCAGGTATTTTTTGTCTTCCTCCCATTGTCTTACTTAACTTGGTACAGTACCTTACAATTCTGTATTTTGTAGCAAAAAAACAAAACTTCATCTTCTCTTGCAGCTGATTAGTATTTATAAATTAATTTAAAAGAAGAATACGCCCATTACCCAATGCTGGAGGATCATATGGCCAGAGCAGGCCTAGCTACAGTGCTTAACTATTGGGATAACCCAATGCTTGTGTGCAGGGAGAACAGAGACCCACATGTCTTATATAGGTCTTAACATTTGGCTACTTTTCTTCACAAGATTGTGGGGCTTATGTTTTGGGGGGACATACAGTCTGCGAAGCAAATCACATAATTGCAGAACAGTATTTTCAGAATAACGTACAAGGATTTATTGTGTATCTGCTTTTGCAAGATACCATGTATGACAGGAAGATGTGCTCTTTGTACTTTCTTGGGAATAAATACATGAACCCAAATGGAAATGGCACAGTAATTAATTCAGGCGAGGCTTAAAATTAGTATTATAAAATGGGTATTCGATCATTGTATAACAGGAACCCAAGCACAAAAATTTGTAAATCTACAACTGTACCTCATGGTGTTTCACTAATAAAAATCTAAATAAAAAAAAATGGAATAAAAGGAGACCTCTCTGAAAGTCGCAAAAAAAAAAAATTAAGATATTGCTTAGGGGTTGGGATATAAGTTAAAACTTGTAAGAGTAGACATCATTAGTGAGTCAACTCTGCCATTTGTTGGCCATATGGCCCTGGGCATTTTGCATAATTTGAAAGACTAGCACTGTAGCACTATCCTCCTGTTGTTCATCCATTTGCTTCAGCGGGCACCAGTAACGTCTCACAACAAATTGTGAGACTTGTTGTTACTGTTTTTGGCATATCAAATACGTCACGGGTAGCTTGCCAGTCTTTGCCATGAAATTGAGATACTCTCGGTAGCTTTCCGGGTTCTCCAAGAGGGGTGGAAAAATTGAACCTGGGTCAGCCACGTGCAAGACAAATGCCCTACCCACTGTAATTTTCAATTTATGGGCAATACTGAACAAACTGGAGATATAAAATTGGTGTTTTTTTTTTAACAAAAGTTGTGAACTATGGCAAACATAATAGAGAAGTGGTATAGGAGAGACACCACCTGACTCCCAAATATAATGTTTTTGTAGCTTCACGTGCATTTAGATTTAAACATGTTTACATGAAGATACTTGTAATTGTGTATAGAGTTGTCTTGAATTGAAACTGTCCCACTCATTTATTTTTAAATAGTTGAAGGGGCAACCAAAAGAGCTAAAATTGCTTGTAATATTCATGTGGCCCCTCGGACACACCGCATGGTGGTGATGAGCCAAGTTTACAAGCAGACATTGGCCAAGAGCTCAGATACTCTGGTGGGTGCACATGTGAAGATCCATCGCTGCAACGAATCTTTTATATATCTGCTCTCTCCCTTACGGTAAGCACTGTCTTCATACTGTTCTAACATTATGACATTTTCTTTTGACTATGATTGATCTTTCTTTTGCCATCAGAGAGTAACATTATAATAAAAAATTAGTAATGTTATAATGAGATATTTTGTATCTTACCTCCTATACAGAGGAATTCACTTTTTTTCCCCCCAACGTTTTAGATCTGTAACAATTGAGAAGTGCAGGAATAGCACCTTTGTCCTGGGCCCCGTACAGACTGCTCTTCACCTCCACAGCTGTGACAATGTTAAAGTCATTGCAGTTTGCCACCGTTTATCCATCTCTTCTACAACAGGCTGCATCTTTCACCTTCTGACACCTACTCGCCCACTTATTCTCTCTGGGAACCAGGCAGTAACTTTTGCCCCCTTTCACACCCATTACCCAACGCTGGAGGATGATATGGCCAGGACAGGCCTAGCTACAGTGCCTAACTATTGGGATAACCCAATGATTGTGTGCAGAGAGAACAGAGACCCACGTGTCTTCCGGATTTTACCCCCCTGTGAATTCTATGTGTTTGTTACTCCCTTTGAAATGGAAGGGGACACAACTGAGATCCCTGGGGGTCTTCCATCTGCATACCAGAAAGCCCTGGGTCAAAGAGAACAGAAGATACAGATCTGGCAGAAAACTGTGAAGGAGGCTCGACTGACAAAGTGAGTCTTTTCTAGAAGTAATTCTGTGTTCAATGTACAACTCCATGGGAAAGCAAGGTATTGTGGATGTGCTTAATAGCTGTGCTGAAAACAACGGTGTATTTTGCTAAAACTTTTGATTGGAAAATGAGAATGGGTATTTGAGTTTTGGGTTCCCTTCTTTTATGAAGCTTTGGTTTAGTTTGCAGATATGATATATAAATGAAGGAGCCTATATAGAATATGCCACATAATCCAATAATTGAATTAGTTTTAGTTTTGTATTTCTCTGCCCTACCCCCGGAGATTCTCAAACTTGCTTGTGCAATATAATCATACGAGGAACTTGTTAAAAACAGATTTCTGGCTTCTCCACTTGGCCGACAGATTCTCCATGGGTGGATTCCTAATGCAGCTGCTCCATAAACTAATGCCAGTTTTTTTTTGTTTTGTTTTGTTTTTAGGTTTTATTTATTTTTACACATAATTAAAGTGATATTACAAGGCATATATTATTTACAACTGTGCAAATGTTACATAATGTGAGTTTTTAGCAGAGTTTTCCTAAATCAATAGTAAAGAGTAAAAAATAAAAACAGTATTTTAAAAGCCAAATTTAGCCATTATAAATATTATCTTTTATTCTGAGATTGTTTGCTTCTTTCTACTGGTGTACAAAATATTTTAAATAATAAACTTGTGATAGTGGATGGTTGCAGTTTATTATGTCTACCATGAAATTTTATTTCTAGGATATTGGTCTCTGGATTTTAAAAGCCAGGGACATACTCTATGGTCCAATGATTCAGAAGACATCAGTGTTGTTAGTCAGACATTCAGAGGATTTATGGAGGGAGCAGGATTTGTTTTTATCTTTGAAGAGTTTGTGTAGAAAATGAGGACTGATGAAATTTTTTTTTTAAGGCTACTGGACTTTTATTCATTTTTTTACAATTTTGGACACTGGCATTTACAGTACTATTAATAATAGGGTTTTGTGCATGCAGCTAATACCCCCAAAAAGTAGGCGGTAAAGCAAATAAGTTTGGAAACCTCTTGTCTAGAAAAAGAAACTGGAACAGATAATAGTTATACCAAGACCTTACTGGTCTTGAAATGGAAAGTGGGGCATCTTCTCTTTCTTATCTTGAATGTTTATAAATATTCAAATTTAGAGTCTTGGCAGCTTCTTGTTTCCTCTGTCTGGAATGTTCTTCAGATATGTCTTTTACTAAATCTATTACTTTGATCAGATCTCTGCTTTACTGTCATTTTAGGAATGAATCTATTAGGTGTTCACTTGTTTTCTACAGTAGTATTCCTGATACTCTTTTTTTTTTTTTAACCCTGATGTATTTTTCTCCTCTTAAGTATTTAAAAAATACTAAATTGTGTGTGTGTGTGTGTGTGTGTGATGCTTATCTTTTCTGATAGAATATACAATCCCCTAGGAGTGTAGACTTCACCCATCCCAGTGTGAGCTGTACCTTCCAGAGTCATGCAGTTCCTGTCTCTTCTCTTTTCAGTAAGCACTTATCCCTGTCAGAGCACTATAGGTAAAACGCTGGTCAGCACCACTGATCCTCAGCAAATGTTTAATGAATAATCACAGCAGAACAAAATGTGTAATTACTAATAAGACTTTATAAGGAGTACATTGTATCTGAACAATCCACAGTGCAGAGTTTTACAGGGCAGCTGTTTGTAGAAAACAAATGTATAACTAGAAATCATTTATCCTGTTTTATGAACACTTGGCATAAAGTCAACAAGAAATCATGTTTTTCCACCTCCCCCCCTCCCCATTGCAATCTTAGGGAGCAAAGAAAGCAGTTCCAGTTGCTTGTGGAGAACAAGTTTTATGAGTGGTTGGTCACTACAGGTCATCGTCAACAGCTGGATAGTCTCGTGTTGCCTGCAGCAGCCTCAAAACAAGCAGCAGGATGAAGTTTCTACAGCAGAATACTGGTAGGCACTTATAAAGTTAACTACTTAAAAATAAACTATTCAGGGAAATCTTGGTAGTACACAGCAAACTACACAGAACAGTGCGTTACTGACCAGTACCAAAGTTTTTTACCACCATTTGCTTCACTCTTACAGAACTGATAACTATTTCTGTTTTGGTCATTTTATTTCCTGGTACATTTTACCAAGGCTCCTTCCTCTGCAGTCCAAACTTCAATATTTTCTCTTCTCCACAGTTCTGTGTAACCACAAACCTACTTTTTTAGTTTAAAAAAAAAAAATTATGTTTTTTGTTTGGGGGCCATGCCTGGCAGTAACCAGGGCTTATTCTTGAGTCTTTGCTCAAGGTCACTCCTGGTGGTTCTTGGGGAACACAGGTGATGCTGGGGACTGAGCTAGGGTCAAAGCCAGGGTAGCTGCATGCGAGGCAAGTATAAGTGCCTTATCTCCTGTACTGTCTCTCTGTGGCACAAATCTACTTTTCTTTTATCAATTCTGAACATTTCATGTGAATGGAATCATATAACATGAGGCTTCATGCTTTCATTTAGCATGATGTTCTCAAGGTTCATCCACATAGCAAGTCCCAATTACATAATTTCTTTTATGATGTAATATTTCCATCGTGTGAGTATGCCATATCACCTTGTTTGTGTGTTTATTTTTGGTGGGCATTTAAGTTGATTTTACTTTCAGCTACGCTGAAATAGGTCATGTGTACTTGTTTGCAAGTTTCTACCTAAGCTTATGTTTCATTTCTCTTGGGCACATATCTAGAAGTAAAACCGCAAAATCATGTTTAAGGTTTTTAAGAACTATTCAAACTGTTTTCCAAAGCTACAAAAGTTTTTATTTGTTTACTTTTTATATTATTTACATTTTTAAAAGCATGTACAATTTATTGTGCATTTGACAATATTTTGTTAATGTTGAGATTAAGAATTAGAAATCTAATGAGAATTGGAGCTAAGGAAATGGAGCTATGTGAGGGTAACTTTTTAATTTAGACTAATCCCCTGCTATGTTTATATATCTTTATGAATTTCTTCTATTATAATTAATGTGACAAGCTAAATTAATTACAGGGTAGCCTGGCAAGCTACCCATGGCGTACTCAACATGCCAAAGACAGTAACAATGATGGTCCTCATTCCCCTGACCCTGAGAGAGCCCCCAGTATGCCATCGGGCTACACTAGCACGTGACAGGGATGAATGGAGACGTTACTGGTGCCCGCTCGAGCAAATCGATGAACAGTGGGATGCTAGTGATAGTGATTAATGTGACCCTCAGGAAAAAGGAATATAATTAACATTAAACTTTATGTGCCTTACTGTTCTAAACTACCAGTAGTTATTGTTTTATGTCATTTTATAAATGGAAGCTTTTTCTTATTATTTCCATGAAGACAATAGAAAGTTGAGTTATTGGTATTTTTCTTTTATCTTCAGGACCTTGGATTCGTAAGGATGCTTGATAGATGGTGTGCATCTTGAACCTCAATTGGAATGGTGCTCATGCTTCTTAAAAGACTTTGGGCGTTGAGGGTATTTTTCCCTTTGTTTAAAGATACTCCCTGGATTTCTGTTCCATACTAATTTATTCCTGTTTAGGTTGAATTGTAACTAATATATTACTGTTAATAGGTCAGCAGAAGGTTCATCTTTGCAGTACTAAATAGAAAAGGTGAATGAAATCAGTCTTACTGTTTACATGTTAATATTGACCTGATTGTAGGTTTGCCAGTGATTCACATTTAAATGTGTTATTAAAGGGTTCCAGCCTTTCTAGAATTTAAAGAAGAATTTTGTTTTTTATAACTATATAAAAAATTGTTACTACTTTAAAAAATAATTAGAAGGAAATTTTGATGTTTGATGTATAAATATAGTAGAAATAGTATTTTACAAGGTAAAAACAATGAAATTGTGTGAAGTTTTTCATTTTCTGGTTCAAATTTTCAATAAACAAAGTAATTTTTTCTTTTGATAAGATAAAGCTTTATTTTTAAATTTTATGTTACAGCAAAATAAAGTTTACATTTGGTTGGGAGAAGGACATGCTCTTTTATTTCTAAAGTGAAAAATAACCCCATAATATTTATTCATTTTAATTGAAGTTTTCATTTTTTCTACTATAAGATAAAATTCAAGAAAACAGCATTACCACATGAAGTAATACAAGTCTATTTTAAAATTAATAGTATTTAGTAGATGTTACTGGACCCGCTCGAGCAAATTGATGAACAACAGGAGGACAGTGCTACAGTATTTAGTAGATGCTTTTTTCTCTTTTTTTGCTTTTTGGGTCACACCTAGTGATGCACCGGGTTTACTCCTGATTCATGCTGGGAGTCAAACCCAGGTTGGTTGGTTGGCTATGTACAAGGCAAATACCCTACCTGCTGTGCTATTACTCCAGCCCTGTAGATGCTTTTATAAGTTTATAAAAATTAGAAAACCAAGCATTAACATTGTTACTCAAAGTTTCATTTCTTAATTTTTATGTTAAGACATTTGCCATTTTCTGAAATGATTGAAATGTATCCTGAGTGTATCCTATTTAGAAAAATATTTGTTGAGGGAGCTGGAGAGAGAGTACAGAGTTTAAAGATGCTTGACTTGCATGAGACTGGCCCTGGTTTGGTCCCCACCACCACATATGAACCCTTGAGCACTGCCAGGAATGAATCCTGTGCACTGAGTCAGGAGTAAGCCCTCCACACTTCTGGGTGTAGCCCAAACATTCTCTCTCTCTCTCTCTCTCTCTCTCTCTCTCTCTCTCTCTCTCTCTCTCACACACACACACACACACACACACACACACACACTTGAATTTTTGGTATAACTTTGTTAGTGCAAAGAGGAAGCTTTTCTTTTGACAAAATAGTTGAAAGTTATACTGAAGAAAAGTTGATTTGGGGACCATACGTGTTTTGTTTAAAATTATAATATCTTTCCTAAAATCAGAGGTGCCAGGAAATATTCTCTAAATAGGTGCCAATATGATATCATAGCAGAAAAGGGCTACCTACCAAGTAACAAAGTGGGCTTAAATATCAACCCTTTGTAAATTCATGATTTGCACAGAAACTTTAAGTCTATCAAAGTTACTTACTGTACAGCACGATTTCTTGTTGATTAGAACTTGTATATGTTTGTGTGTTTTGGAAAAAATCAGAGGTAAGAACAATGACAAGAACCTAAATTTCCACAAACCCTTTGTCTAGAAGCACCAATTGCTAACATTTTGCCACTGTTACTTTCTACCACCAAATAGTAGTACTACTATTGCTCCCAGTTTTAGAGTAGGTAATCTTGGGCATTTAGTCCTGCATACTCCTGCATACATTGGCTTGTTCTTTCCAAAGATAGGGGTGTTCTCTTACATAGTCATAGTACAAATGATTGAATTCAGAAAGCTTAACAATGGATGGTATAATAATCTTATCTAATTACTGTCCAGTTTAAAATTTTCACTAATCATCCCCAAAATGTCATATATTACGATTTTTTTCTGTGTGTTTCCTTGCCATATCATTGTGTTGCTTTTGAACATGTTCTTTTCAGTGCATGGGGGCTGCTCCTAGTTGTGTGCTTGGGCTTGCTCCCAGCAGTGCTTGGAGACCACATGGCAACAGCCACTAAACTCCCACATAACAATGCATGAAGTTAGATATTGAATTCCCTCTTTTGGCCCAGCACATGTCACTTTTTGTTCAAAAATACAGGGTGACTTTTGACTCATCTCCTGCAAACTTTAAAGAAAACAAAAAAGGGATTTCGAGGTGGCTATTTTTTAGAAAACCAAATTATGTTAGGAAAGAGGGACTTTTTGTTATGTTTTTTAACATAAAAATCTGTGCTGGGTTTTGCAGAAAACCACTCAGCAGTCTATAGTTATATGCAGCAATGTCTAAAATTGGAAACTAGGTAAGCAAAAGGTTACTCAGATGTGAGCCTACCGGCAGAGACAGATGAAAAGAGAATCAGAATAAACTACAACTAATACCTACCAGCCTGGCCCTCATTCCTTCCTCCACCTGACCATCGCCATCGACCTCTCCGGGGTGGGAGAAGGGTGAGACTACCGAACGCGGGTGGTGGGAGAGATAGAGCCACCGCCACTGTGTGCTGTGCCCCGCCTTGTGCAGCCATTCAATGTAAAGCTGGGGATAAAATGCTCTCCAGGTGTCCCCCGAGATGCCTGAAGAGAAGCAGTTTTGAGCGTCTGCCCTGCCCTCTTCACTCCTGACCGCGGCGCCCATCTCATCTTAAATCCAGGACCCCAGGTGTCCCCCAAGATGCCTGAAGAGAAGCAGTTTTGAGCGTCTGCCCTGCCTTCTTCACTCCTGACCGTGGCGCCCATCTCATCCCAAACCCAGGGTTCTGTAGAGGTGTGACCTCCTCAAAAGTGGGTGTGGCCTCAAAAGTGGGCGTGGCTTAATTTCCGGCGGTGTATTGTTCTCCCATACTAAGGAACCTAGTCCCCAAGGAATCTAGTTCCCAACCTACTCAGCAATTTGAAGAAACAAAGAAAATCCCCACCACAAGGGGAGAGCAACGAAAACAATCTAGAACATTCCGTTAATACAGCTCACCTAAGGGACCTCTCTGACATAGAATTCAGATATGAAGTCATCAAGATGTTCAATCAACTCAATGAAACAGTCAGACAGACAGCCAGTAACACCACAGAAAAAATCGACAAATTATGAGAAGAAATGAGAGCAGAAATGTCACAATTAAAAGATTCCACAGATGAAATGAGAAACTCAGTTTCTTCTCTTAAAAATAGAATGACCACAGCTGAAGAGAGAATCAGTGAGCTGGAAGATCAGCTGCAACAAGCCAACACGCAACAACAAACAGTGGCAAGGGACCTCAAAATGGCTCTACAGAGAATCAGAGTCCTAGCAGATGATTCCAAGATGAACAATATTAGAATCATGGGACTACCTGAAGCTCAGGGAAACAATCCCAACGAAAAAAACACCGTCAAACAAATCATTGGATTTATGACCTCAACATCAGACCAGAATCCATAATGTTTATTGAAGACAAAGTCGGCAAAACTCTCCATGATATTGAAGCTAATGGTATCTTCAAAGATGTCACACCACTGGCCGAGCAAGTGAAAACTGAGATAGACAAATGGGACTATCTTAAACTAAGAAGCTTCTGCACCTCAAAAGAAACAGTGACCAAAATACAAAGACAGCCTACAGAATGGGAAAGGATATTCACCAAGTACACATCCGACAAGGGGTTGATATCAAGGATATACAAGGTACTGGTTAAACTCCACAAGAAGAAATCACCCAACCCCATCAAAAAATGGGGTGAGGAAATGGACAGAAACTTTCGCAAAGAAGAAATTCGAATGGCAAAAAGGCACATGAGAAAATGCTCTACATCACTAATCATCAGAGAGATGCAGATCAAAACCACAATGAGATATCATTTCACACCACAGAGACTCACCCACAACCACAAGAACAAAAGCAACCAATGCTGGCGCGGATGTGGCGAGAAAGGGACCCTCCTTCACTGCTGGTGGGAATGCCGACTGGTCCAACCCTTTTGGAAAACAGTATGGACGACTCTCAAAAAATTAGAATTTGATCCGCCATTTGACCCAGCTATAGCACTCCTGGGAATATATCCCAGAGAGGCAAAAAGGTATAGTCGAAGTGACATCTGCAATTGTTTGTTCATTGCAGCACTCTTTACAATAGCCAGAATCTGGAAAAAACCTGAGTGCCCAAGAACAGATGACTGGTTAAAGAAACTTTGGTACATTTACACAATGGAGTACTATGTAGCTGTTAGAAAAGATGAAGTTATGAAATTTACATACAAGTGGTACTACATGGAAAGTATCATGTTAAGTGAAATGAGTCAGAAAGAGCGGGATAGACACAGAAAGATTGCATTCATCTGGGGAACATAAAGCAACAAAAAGGGAGACTAACACCCAGGAATGGCTGAGATTAGTACCAGGAATTTTGCTCCATGAATGGAAGGCCAGCCACACGTTCTAGGTGAAAAGGAAGCTCAGATAGAGAAGAGAGCACCAAATGAAGGGTGTTGTGAGGACCCTCCCAGGGTGGGAGAAGCATGCTAAAAGTAGTCTATAGACCAAACATGATTGCCATTCAATGCCTCTCTTACAAAACACAGTACCCAAAAGAAGAGAGAGAGAACAAGGGGGAATACCCTGCCACAGAGGCAGGATGGGATGGGGGGGGATGGGGGGGGAGCTGGGACCCGTGGTGATGGATGACGGGCACTGGTGGAGGGATGGGCACTTGATCATTGTATAACTGAAACCCAAGCACAAAATTTGTAAGCCTATAACTACCTCATGGTGTTTCACTAATAAAAAAAGAAAAAAAAAGATGTGAGCCTACCCACTTTTTTTTTCTAATGAAGAACATGGAGCACTGTAGCACTGCCCTCCCTTTGTTCATCGATTTGCTTGAGCGGGCCCAGTAACATTTCCATTGTGAGATTTGTTGTTACTATGTTTGGCATATCAAATACATCACGGGTAGCTTGCTAGTCTTTGCCGTGCAGGCGAAATACTCTCAGTAGCTTGCTGGGCAGAGGAATCAAACACGATTGGCCCAGTCAGCAGCGTGTAAGGCAAACATCCTACCCGCTGTGCTTGGAGAACATTGCTTTTTTTGTCTAAAGGTAAATATGCAAGTGGGTAGAACACTGGGATTGAGAGAGAAGAAATCTTTTTTTTGCTCTGCTAGCATCTATTCTAATAAGTACTTTGTTGTGGGTTTGTTTAAACAGTTTATTAAAGTGTTATAAATTAAACACTTTCCTGGTGTGATGTTAAACACTTTATTGGTATGCAATAGGTAAATATCACATGATTTTTGTCTTTCAGCAGCTAGCATTCTGTGAATTTTCACCAGAGGCAGACATGCTGATAAGAGAATTATGTGAAGCAGAAAATTTAATATTCAATTAAAAATGTATGAAATTTAGCCTCAGTCATTAATGTTCTAAAAGATATATCAACCGATCTTTTGACTCAATCATATGAACCAAACATATGAATATATGAACCGGAAAAGGGTATATGAACTAATCAAGCTATATTCTGCATATCCCCTTCTTTTAAGCAATTACTGCCATTCTGTTCCCTAACATGCTTAAGTTAGGAAAGTTGCCCCTAAAGTACTTGATTCAGTTATTGAACAGAAAATTAATCTCTCATGCAGGCAATATATAACTTCATTCTTTTTTTGTTGAAGGTTCTGAGAGGCCCACATTGGGTAGTGTTTAGGGCTTAGTCTTGGCTTTACACTCAGGGATCACTTCTGGCAGTGCTCAGGGGACTATATGCCGTGCCTAGAATTGAACCCTGGTCAGCTATGTGTAAGGCAAGTGCCCTACTCTCAATACAATCTTTCTCTGACACGGTTGTTTAAAAAAAAGTCATCAGTACTTGATTTCTTTTTTCATCCTAAAGATTCACTTTCAAACTTTAAACCCACTGAGTTGGAAATATTGGACAAAATATATTTATATCCTTCACTTATATTCTCTAGTTAATATTTTATCCTATTCAGTCTCTTTGCTGAACCACCTGAAAACAAATACCAGACTTCCATACAGTTCTCAAATATAAAGACATTCACCCATATAAACTTAATTTACATTCATATCTCAACTATCATAAATGCAGTAAGTGATAAGCTAGATTCAGACTTCCCCCAATTGTTCTCCAGAATGATCCTCACAAATCTGGGTTTTCCCTGCTGTAAGATCCTGCAAATGACCATGTTTGGTTTTGGTTGTTGTGTTTCTTTTCTTTTTTCTCTCTCTTTTTTTTTAAGCCCCTTTGATATGCGGTAATCTCACATGTCTTTGTTGTTTGAGACATTTGCAAATCTCAGACTAGGTTTCTTGAGGGTCTTTTCCTGAAACCTAGATTCATTGATTGCTTCTGGTTTTGGCCTATCCGGTAAGAATTAGTGACGTAGGCAGTGCCTGTACATACTTTATCCTTTCAGGAGACATACGCTGTCCAATAGTGGGTCAGTGATTGTTTTGTTTTGCATTTGGAAAACATCTAGGATCCATACTGTCATCCAAAGATTTGGGGAGAAAAATGAAACAGTATCTTTGAAAATCCCTAGAAGGATATCCCTGTCCTTTGAGGGTTGTTTCAGAACCACTTTAGGCAAAAACTGTGCCACTTTCCAAGATTTCCAGAGTTACTGTGGGCACTTTTCTTGTCTCTGGGCTGAAATAAGTTTGCTTACTACACCAGAGGAGATAGTAAATTCTCATATGCTTACTGTTTTTTCCTTCCCCCTTTATCTTGATAGCAATTTAGAACTAAATTTAAAGCAGAAGACTTTTACTAAGTTTGTTTTATCATCTATGGAATACCCAAGGCACTTTTCTTTC